GGCGCTGACGTCACGGCCGCCGCCGCCGGTATATTTGAGGCTCGGGGCGGGCGCGGGGGCCCCGCTGCGCCCCCGCCGCGCCGGATCCGCGGGCGCGCAGCGGCGGCGGCGGCGGCCACGGCCCCGCCGCCCCCCCTCCCCTGCCCCCCGCCCCGCGACCCCCCCCTCCCCCGGGGTCACCGGGCACCGGCCGCACCATGCGGAGCGCCCGGGCGCTGCTGCTCGCCCTCGCCCTGCGGGTCTACGCGCTGGACACCGAGACGCCCGCCGGTAGGAACGGGGCAACGGCGGGGGGGTGTTGGGAAGAGGGGGGGTGTCTTGTTCCGCCACCACCTCCCCCCCCGGAACCGGGATGGGGGTTCCGCCGCCGCCGCGACCGCCACTTGCAGCTGGAGACCCTTTTCTACCGGAGAGTCCCCGGGACTTTCCCCCTCGATGGAACTACCGGGATCCTCCCCCACCCGGCCCCGGGATGGGGGGTCCGCCGCCCCCCCCCCCCCGCCGCCTGCAACTGGAGATCCCCTGGAGACTCTGTGCTGCCGGAGGGACCCGGCCCTTCACCCCCCCCGTGGAACTACCGGGATCCTGACCCCCCCCTGCCCCGGGAACCGGGGTCTCATGTGGCGCTGCCACCCCCGGGAAGCGGGATGGGGGTTCCGCCACCCCCGTCCCGCCGCGGCGGCCGCCACTTGTTCTACCGGAGGGTCCCCAGGATCCCCCCCCCCCCCGATGGAACCACCGGGATCCTGCCGCCCCCCTGCCCGGGGTCCGCGGTCCCATGTGGCACTGCCATCCCCGAGAAGCGGGATGGGGGTTCCTCTCTCTCCTTCCCGCTGCCGCCGCCGGGGGAACTTTTTCCTCCCGCTGCGGAGGGAGGGGATTTCGGCTGCGCCCCCCGCGCCGCGGATGCTCCTCAGAGCGCGACCCGCTCGCTCCCGGTACCGGCCGACCCCCCTCCCGCCGCATCCCCGGCAGGGAAAACTTGCCCCGGTGGCAGCGCTGGGGGGGGTCAGGTGAAAGGAACCCCCATCCCGCTTGCCGGGGGGGCGGCGGGATCCCGGTGCTTTCATCGTGGGGTCCCGGCGGGGGTTTGGGGACCCTCCGGTAGGAACAGGTGGCGGCCGCGGCGGCTCCGCTCGCAGCCTCCCGGCTCTCGTTGTGCCGCGGGGATGCACAGTCGGAGTTGTACCGAGACGGCGATCGATAGATTTGATTTTATTCATTTATATATTTTAAGCGTTTCTCTTCTTTCGCCTGAGCGCCCCAGCGGTCCCCGGGACCCTCCCAAAGCACGGGCTGGGGAAGGGCTGATGCGGGGACTGGGATGGATCCGCTCCCGATCCTTTCGGGAGGCAGGAGCGGGGCTGGATGCTGCGGAGTGCGGGATTTTTGGGGCTCCCGAGGCGCTACCGGGGGCTTTGTGGGGGGAAACTAAGACACGGGGAGCTGGTGCCTCATTCCGACGGGTCCCCGGCGCTGCCACCCCCAGCTTTTAGCTAATGCTCGGCACATCAAAGTGTATTTTTGCCTAGTTCTGTAATTTTTCACCTTTAAATCCAAGCAGGCTCACCTGCACACAGTCCCCATGTTGGTGCATTGATTTTGGGTTTTTTTGGGTAGTGGCTTTTCTCCAAAAATTATAAATAGTGACACCCGTCAGCAGAAAACAAGAGACGGCGGCTGACCCGTGTGGTGGGGGGATGGAGACAGGGATGGATGGGAGGATGGAGACACGGGTGGATGGAGGGAATACGAAGCTGCTGTGGCTCCCCCGGCTTTGTGGGGTGGAGGGGACGGGTTTATATTTGAGGAGGGGGCAGTTGTGTGCTGGCTGGGGGGAGGATCAGCTGCTTTGTGCTTCAAGGCAGAGCAGGGAGGTGATGAGGACGCTGAGGCAGCTGGTGAGGGGCTCAGTGTTCTGCCAGAGGAGGGGGCTTCTGCACCCCCCGGTGTCAGAGGGGGGGTCTCGAGCTGTGCTGCCCCAGCCCTGGTGCGTGCGTGGCTCTGATGGCTCTCGGGGCTGAGCTGCCGCAGCCTGTGAGAGGTTGGAGGGGCTGTGGTGGGGCCACCTCGGGGCTTGGGGGGGGGCTTTGTGGGGTGGTTTTCCCTCCCAAGCGAACCCTTTTCCCTCTGTGGGCTCCCTTCCCTGCGAGATGGCATTAGCGAAGGGCAGGATCGAGCCCGCTCCTGGTGTAAATCAGGAGCGTGTTTATTCCAGCATTTCCCTGGAAGATGCAGAGCAAGCTCAGCTCCGCAGTGGAGCTGAAGGGACTGGATCCAGCTGGAGGTGAGGGGTCTGCTTGCAGCCCCCTGGCTCCATTGCAGGCTGCTTTTTAGCTGGATCTGATGTTTGCTCCTGCCGATGTGGTTTGGCCGTCTGCAGGGATATGACCAGGCTCATCCCTGGGGCTGCACGGCGGGCAGGGCTGGGAAGAAAAATATTTAAGCCATTTGCACCTGCTCTGGGATCACCGGAGACCCCGGAGCCGGTCACGGGAAGGACCAGCTGCTTGTCTCGGTGGGGATTTTCAGGAGGGGGAGAGGTTTTCTTGCTGCGCCTTTGCAAAGAAGGGGCACAGTTTGGTCCCTTCTGCAGGTGGGGGAACTGAGGCACGGCGTGTCCGTGTCCAGCTGAGCTGGGAGGAATCGAGGTACCCCAGTCACGGTCCTTCCACTGCCTTGGGGTGCTCTCGTTTCCTTCCTGCAGCCTTCAAACTTTTGCAGCTCGTTAGGATTTCGCAATGACTGAGCTGTCGGTGCCGGCCCGTTGTGCTTGTTGTGGAGGGGACCAGGGTGGTGTTGGGAGGCACTTGCTGACCCTCCAAACCGAGTGATCCGGGGGTTCTTGCGGTGCCAGTGGGCTGTGACAGGGACCTGTGATTGTCCCCGGTGGGATTTGCCAGCCCCATCTCGCCTCTCTGGGCTCTTTGCAGGAAAACACGGAGCCTTTCCCTGCTGGAAGCCTGTGGCCACGAGCAGGCTGGGCCCCGGGGCAGCGGCTTGTGCAGGCTCAGCTATTTCCCTCCTCCTCTTGCTTTCCCTGATAAGAAAGGTGGATGTGGCACTCGGGGACATGGTGGCCTTGGAAGCGCTGGGGGAACAGCTGAACTCGATCTTTTCCAACCTAAATAATTCCCCAGAGCGCAGCTGCGCTCCTCTACACTGCACCCCAAAACTTGAGCAACGAGCTGCCCTCCGGGGGTCCCCAAGGCTGTGTCCCCCCAGCCTGTGTCCCCCTACATTCCCAGGCTGTTTTCCAGCGGTGGGGACACGCAGCCGAGGTGCTGCCCGGCGCTCCTGCCGGAATTATGCGGAAGCTGTTTGCGCTTGGCTTCGACTTCGTTAGCGGCAATTAAGCAAATAAAACATTTGGGTTTGCAGCTTCCACTCGGGAGGCTGGGATTGCCGGGGAGCACTGGGCTGCGGTTGGTGGCGGCTCTGGTGGCACTAGGACCAGTTTTGGGGGGGATTAGGGGGATGGTTGCTGGTTGTGGTGATGAACTCCTTGCTGGGGGTCAGCCTGGGGCCCCCCAATGGTCCTGTCCCCCCCCCGGGCAGCGCTGGCAGGAGGTGGCAGGGCTGACCCTGACCCCGGCGCGGCGGTGCCGTCTCGGTTGAGTGAATGGGAACAGCCAAGCAGACGCCGTTTCCAGGGCTGGGATTGGGGTCGGGAGCAGAGCAGCCCCTCGGCGTCCCTCCCTGGCCGTTAACTGTCACGGGGGTCTCTCGGGGATGCTGGGAGAGGGAGATGAGCGGGATGCTCTGCCCGTGCCTCGGGGTGGGGGTCAGGAGCGGGGCGGCCCCTCCTGCTGATGGGGGACAGGGTCAGTGTTTTGAGTTCTCCGGTGCCTCATCCTGCTCTTCCAGCGCTTTTCCCGCTGGTTATTTCCCTCCACCTGGCTGCCCAGGGCTCTCCCATGCCAAGGCATTTTCTTCCCAGCCCTCCTTCACCGAGCGCATAAAATGTGCGAGAACGAGAATGTTACATTTTCCTTGTCAGGCTTGGTTTATTTATTTTTTTTTCCTTCCTGCCTGTTCTGCCGTGCCAGGGAAGAGGCTCTTTCTCTTGTTTGCTCCTTCGTGTGTGTTTTTAATGCCCTGGGAGTGCCATGCCCTTTCCCAGAGCGCCCAGACAGTGCAAACACCCCTCGGGCTCCTGTGTCGGGATGCTCCGGAAAATCCTGTTGACGTGCCCAAGTGTGCCCAGGGCAGAGGTTTCTGGCTCCCAAGCCCTTGGCTTCCCAGTGTCCCCTCTCCACACACCGGAGTGTGGTGGATTTTCACCATCTGCGAGGGTGAAGCTGAATTTAGGGATGTTCCAAGTGATGCTGATGCTCCTGGATGGACCTGTCCCTCTGGCTCCTTATCTGCAGCTCCGTGGTGGAGCCTGGCAATGCCTGTTGGTTTTTTTTTTTCCCCCTCATCAAGACTTACAGTTGTATTTGTTTCATTTTTACCCTTTTCTTCTCGTTCCAAAACTCCTGTTTCATGTTTTTCCCCTGGGTGCCTGGACCTGCCCCGGCCTCGGGAACAGGGATGCTGGTGAGTCACCTCCTGGCCCACACTGCACATTTTTCCCTTTGTTATCCAAACTAAGACAAACCAGCTCTATTCCAGCTTCCCTGGGAGCTTTCCCAGAGCAGATCAGCACCCTGAGGGAGTAGGGACACCTCCTGGAAGACCAAGGCAGGTGCTTTTTGGCGGCTTTAACCCCTGTCCTGGCTGTGACAACCTCCCTGTTGATGTTGGTTTTTCCCCTGATTGCACCCGGGATGGAGCTTTTCCATCATTTCATCACCCCATCCTTGCTCTGCAGAGGGGCTGAGAGCCCTGACTGCCCCAAAACACCCCATAAAAATCCTCTCCTGGCTGCAGCCCCTCTCCAGGGATTTGCTGCTTTGCTTTTGGCAGCTGTGTGAGGGTTAAGCATGAGGGGCTGGAGGCAGAGGAAGGCAAATCCCTGCTGCATCCCTGGGAGCTGGGAGGTAGCACAGGCTCTGGAGAGCCTTATCGACGTGGCCCTGCCATCTGCCTGCCTAAACCTCCATAAATAAGCTTTTTAATAATCTATTATTAACATGCACTATAATTGTCTTATTAGACATGTCTGGGAACCTTTAGTTACTGCGTGATTAAATGTCAAGATTCCCAAACCTCCTCTCTCCCATGGCAGCTTGGGATTTGCTTTGCAGCTTTCCATGGATCCTGCTCTCCCATTCCAGCCTGGAGACCCTCCCCCCCACAACTTGTAGTTGTTGAAACTGAGGCTT